TTTGAGGCCACCGTTGTAACAACATATATAATGAATTTGTTACATATGCACTATAAGTAGATATACAACAAAATGTGTATATGAATATATTTTATTATAACTATAGTTCCCCTTTTCTACAGGCCCTAGTGCGGTCATCCAGTGGTTGAAATTCGGTCATAATTAATTGTAATAAAATTATTTTAATGTAAATTATTACACCAACCGAACTTTCTTTTTATTATGAGATTTTATATTTGTCTAATCTATTCTCAATTTTACTACTATTCAAACAAACAACAAATTCATGGTAGTATTATGTAATATTATATTATCTGTGGTAGTATATAATGTTGTATTAATTTATTAATGTAATATTTATGCATAATTTAAAAAAATATTAGCATTCTGCAGTCAGTTCTCTCTATAAACTATAAGTGTGAGAAAATTAATATTCGTAAAAAGAAGAACCAAATATTTGCTTCACTAATTCATGTAGGGATATTAATATCTCTATATAAAATATATTTAGTTAGTACATCACAATATCACAGATGTCTCTTTATCTATAAGAGAGAGGTAATAATCTCTTGCTGTAGAATATTAATTATCTATTCTAGACTTCAGCATTCCACAAAAACTAAATTCAAGAGGGCAAAGAGTTTTATTTCAGGGTTTACTTCACTTGTATAGGTTACAGGTTACACTCATATACGTTATGCTTATTTTGCGAACTAAATTTTACCCCTTATTGTAACATTTATCTCCTTAAACCAAAATATATCAATGCGAATACCACCACTTTGGGGTAAAGTAATAAGATATCTCCACAATTAAAAGAATAAGAATAACAAGAATCTTGTACAAACCAACCATCTGGTAAGGGCTATGTAAATAAAAAAGAGAGTATGAAAGTATGTTTCCTAAAAAAATAATGAATCACAAATATGAACATAAATACGGATGTCATGGACAACTATTTACAGCTATAAATCTTTTATATAAAAATTCAGTATATAATATAAATTCGATGAATCCATTTAATTCGTTTCCCAGAATTATTTACATCGAAAACATAGCCATGCCCCAACAGAATCCAAAAAGTAGTCGTACCGTTATGCGACTTGGTGTTGCTGTCCCTTTTTGGCAGGAGGAGTCCTACTGTCTCCGCGTCCTGCTTACTCTTGAATGGAGACTACCGGATTGCGGATTCGACAAGAGCGTGCGACCAGTTTTTGTTCGCAAACCACAACAAACATGAACTAAAGACCGATTCGAGGACCAGATTCAAAAGAAATTTCGTTACTCAGACTTCTGTAGGAACTCAGGTGCCGTCAACTCGCTGAATCATTCCTGTTCGTAGAGATATTGTTATAAGGCAAGCACTAAGAAAATACATAGCTAAATATATATATAAGAATGTCTGCACAGTCAATTTAATAAAAAATTTAATTTTATTAAGGTACTTGTCGTTTTTCACATTATTTTATTCATTATTTACATATATAATTTTAAAGATGTATACTTATTTATTCACAACATCAGAAACAGATTCATTTTATCAGGATTCTAAAGCTTATTCTGAACATAACTGATTCCTGAGTTTCTTGCCGTGTTTGCATGTCATATGATAACAAAAATTAAATGTTAGCAAGTATCTGTTGTCAAATTTACGTCTGGTGAACCGTCAGTTTAATACTTACAGTGAGGTTACAGAGGAACTTGCTCTCTCGTACACTAAGGTTGTAGAATGATGAAACTGTGGAAGTTGACTCTAGTGACTACAGCATGAGGTTTTTCTAAAAGGTTAAGATTAAGAAGAAGTAAGCCTTAAGAAACGTTAATAAGGTTTCTTAAGGCTCGCAACGCAAACATGACTGGTGTTTCAGGCTTCCATAGGCTAAGGTAACAGTTGTAGACTCGATTCCCGCTATTGTAGTATAAAAAGAAGACAATATGTCTTCTTTTTATACTGAATATATAATAATATATATATAATCTGAAGCACTTAATAAAGCTTGCCATACATTTAACGGTCTTCTGTTCAGATACCTCTGCCTTAAAGTTTAAGGAATATAGACAGATTATCACTAAATGCTAATTAGGTATTTTTATGTAAGTGTAGACGCATATAAGCCGGCATTGTATATGATGAAGAGTCGGGACTTTCGCATATAGATTTAAACATGTGGTCTCCCTCATACCTTGCCTTTCCTAAAGATTAATATTTCATACCCATATCCTGTATTTATCAAATATTACAAATATATCTCATCCTTCAATCAAGAATATAGCTCTTACGAAGGAATTAAGAAGGAGATAAGAACATAGATGACTTTGTACAAAATCTACTTCATTACCGTTACTTATGTACCTATTTGTTAAGCTAAGATAGAGTCTGTACAAACAAACAAACTTACATTCTTCTAGTACTGTTTCTCTAATCTGTATTTAATGTAAGTACACCTACTAAGTAATTGCTCATATAATTGTATAAGTAATACTAATTATATTTGCGAATTATAAATGTTCTCCATGTTTTCAGAAAAAAGTTCTTGTTTTATTTAAGTAATAATTTAGTCTAACCCCTTGCAGCTTAATTTCATCAGTAACTGGAACGTAATAACTGAATTCGATATTCATGTGATATCGAATCCGCTTCGGATTAGTCTATGCGGTCAGTCATTCTGTCGATCAGACTAAACCATCTGAGCGCTTTATCCGTAATACAAACTCTGTTACAATACTATTATTACATCTAAATTTCTCGATACTAGTAGAATACTAGAATATTTGGAGCGGCACTTAACTATAGACATATTAACTATTAACAACATAGGTTGTATATGTTTTAAAAAAAGTAACTCATATTTTTATACGACTGGAATGAAAAAAATATACTCTTATCGGAATAATGGACAACTCTGATATTTAATTAAAATAATGCTGTAATAATGTAGAAAGTAAGCCAATTCATCCTCATAGTAATGATCGCTAACTAACATTTTTCCAATCATTCTGCAATTTGATGTGTCATAATATATATTTCAGATGCTCATAATATACTACCAATTGAGTAACTTAATTATAAATTAATTTAGAGTTTGCACGGCTATCTTCTTATTTGAAAACTTAGACAAAGACTTCTATAATATATATGTTCTCTTTTTAAATGATATGAATGAACTGCTTCCAAATCATTTACAGGCTCCTTTCCCAAAGTACTATGGCATTGACTAGCGGAATAGCGGAGTAGCTTGAATCAGTCGTTCAGATCTTTCTGTAAGTTTGATGAAACGGTTTGCAGAAATCAAATTTGCAGAAAATTTAAATTTTTAGATTGAATTATTTTCTCTTTTTAGATGTATTTAATTTACGTAATAAACAATAAAACCAACAATTATACTTTTATTTTTATCTTTGAGAATTAATATGTAGGCATTGTTGTAATTATGTAGATACAATGAGATTGATAATAGTGTAATATAAGGACCCGAGGTTCTTGTATCTTCTTCTTGGCTTAGAACTACATTTCAAACTGACAGTGGCTTTCGCTTATCATAAGTGTCTGTAATTAGACTTATATGAAATCTGTATATCTATGAAATGTTTTTATTTAATTTACCTTATTTTGTTTATTTGTGAATACCAACTCTATATAGTCCAGTCAAGGATAAGCTAATTATATAGAAATTCCCAATATTAAAATGTTGATGAAAAGACAGATTACAGTACTTACCTATATGTCGTCACTATATATACATATATAGTTTTTACTATTTTGCCACCGAGATTCGAATCTACCGCTTTAGTATAGTGTGGTGTATGTATATGTCATTCGAAACTATAACGGTAGCATCGGACTCAATTAGTATGCGTCTTGCAGGAGTTTCTATCTGATCGGAGGATCTTCTATCTGCAGATTTGGAGTACCTTCTGCACTGAGCTCCATTTTTGTGCGGCAGGGCTTCACCGATAAACGCCTACTGCGGCCAACAATATAAAAATAGTATATTTTATTACTGTTGACTGCATTCAATGCTTAAAGTTTTTACAGCAATTTTAATTACGCGTGATAGACCTAATAATGATTACTTTCATTTACTATACTGTTCATTTTAGTTTTATAAGTACTATAGCCCTATTTTACAAGGTACTTATAAATTCAGCGACACTAGGTAATACAGAGCCAGACGTAAACCAAACAAAATTCCGCTAGACAGAGTAAATATTGAGTTATTGATACAGGACATCAGTAAATATTTCGCCCTCTTTGATATATATATCTCATACATCATTGAGTTTTATTACGGAGATAATTCGACAAAATCAACCGTTTAACGGTACAATAATTTTTGTTTTCAAATTAAAAATGGCTGCCATTTGCCGCCAATTACAAAAATAACAACGCGAATCTTCTGAAGTCATATGATCACAAATCTAAACATCGTATGTGGCACTATATAGGTATTGATAAACTTAAGAATTTTTCGAAAAAGGAATCCGAGGGGACCACCCAACGGCTCAGCTGCCTGTTTTCGACCTTATTTATTGTTTTAATTAAAACAACATAACTCAAAGCTCTCTGGTGAACGCGCCTATGTGACAGCTCGTAATTCTAAAGTTTAACTTCCGAATGCAATCCTTAAAACAAACGATGTGTATGTGTGCGCAGGGGTCCTATTTCGTACTTGGACTCTCGCTGCGCTAGTTGTTAGAAGCGCACCCGCGACTCGGTAATTTGTTTTATATTAAGGCTTTGCGTTCGTAATTTATGACACGCCTTAGATTTCTATCGCATGAAGTATTTTGATATAAATGAGTTTTAATTAAAAATAAATTAAGCACTGTGTGTTAGTTTAATTTAGATTACGAACAGACATGATCAAGATCCATTTTATTACCGCAAAGTTTTTTATTGCTACTTACCATTCTGATTATACTAAACTGCAGCTAATTTAAAACTAGGGACCAAGGGACTAAAGGATGCTTTATAAAAATAAAAGTAATTATTTATAAATTGGAATATTTTTATTAACAGATCTTTATAATTTTAGTCACATGAATATATTATCCAGGTAGGAATAGTTAATGTAGATCTACATGAAATGAATGAACTGTAATCATAGCACTTGCACTAGATATCGTAAGGTATTTTATTATGTATGGAATAGTATTATATGTGTTAGGTACCTACTATACATTTCGAATGAATATGTCACAACATGTCCACTACAGTTATTATTATCGATTATTATTTATTTATGCCATAAATGTATATTAATTCTATACAAAAAAAGGAACTAACAGTGCGCGTAGTATTTATACTTAGGTAATGCTTATTACTAACTAATAGAGCATGAATGTAAAATATAAAACAAATGACTTTTTTGCAACTTAAATGATAAAAAAAAGTCAAACGTCTTCCCTTTATCACATTCGGCCAATCTCTTATATTTTTATTCTATCGCTCTTAAATAAGCCTAATCATTATTTATTCTATGGAAAATTTTTCACATATGTACCTATGATCACTTAAAACTACACTTAGCCTACATTAAATATCGTGGTCAATAAATAAATAGTATATATTAATAAAAAAACTTTCTCCATACTTTTAGCTCGTGGAACCCAATAAGTATTACGCCGGTAAATGTACACATTAAAATTAATAAAATTTAGTAAAATTTCCATTTGCACAATATAAACTAAATCTGTCTACGGCACAACCATGCATGATCAAAAGTAATCAAGCAATTAGCAAATTTATATATTAAGTAAGATCACAATATCTAGTTTTCTGAAATGGATGGATGAATTCATAATGTTTAATTTATCGATTAAAGTTTCAAGATAATTATTATGATGGAATTTTTTATAAATACAACTTTATACTATACCTATACAAAGATTAAGTCATACCTTAGCAAATGTTACATAATATCTAAAAATCACGATGAATCATTAGAGTGATAGAGAAATGCTTCAATTCGGTACAATGCAAGTAACTAGGTACCTACTCTACTTTGACTTTAATATATAGACCGTTTGTATCACTTTTGGAATAAAGTTGCAGTGATATAAGTTAAGCTTAAACAATATGCATCTTTAGGAATCGACTGCTATTATTTTTAAAATCGTAATCTATTTGAATATTCATTATACCATTCACTAATAGTAAGACTTCCACTATTTTTCTACACCATAATGTTAAATAGTAAACCCTTGACGCACTCTCAGTCGCAATGTTCCATTTTAAAGCGCTCATAAAGCGCAAAACTGAGGCTATGGACAATCCATGGAGTTTGGACTCGGCGGGCCTCCCATCACGCTGTAAGGTGGACTGTGTGGTGGCAAAGACTGTATGGACCCCATAGGCCCGTGATACATGTCCATCTCTAAAGAGCCATCTGGTGAGCATTTGTCCGCCATTTTGTTTTCTTGCTTGGTCACCATTCGCCGCCACTTCGCACGCGCATTCTGAAACCATACCTGTGAACAAAAAACACAAGGTTGATGTCGGCAAAGAAAATAATGTGAAGGCATTTAAATATCGCCAGCAAAAATCATATCGCCAAAGTGTGGTTCGCGCAGCGTACTAAAAAACTGGAAACAAAGTGGAGGAATTATATTTTTGGTCGCCAAATCTTTAATTATGTGGCGTATAATTTAAAATAATTAGCTTCCTTACAACCAGCTTCCGCAAGCTCGTTTCTTTTCTTTTGTACATTTCTGCATAGCTCCATTTTTGTGGGGCACGTGAGAGCGTTCCGCGGATTTGGCGTTGTAGGTTGCGTTCCGAAGTGCAGATTTTATCTGTAATTAGCAAGATTACCCCGCTGGGCGCCGCGCCGCTCGGAGCGTGACGCGCGCAGCCTGCCGCTGACCACCGCGCGGGCAACTCACATGCACAACATTCCATTGCGTTGTTCTCCCTGCCCCAATTACCTACAAGCACGTGCTAAAAATTTTGTACATTCTATGGGATAATAATAATACATTGCAAATAAAAGAAATCGCAAGCATTAAACTTAGTTTTTCTTTATTCGTACAGCCTCGTTCTACCGAAACCAATGATTTCAGATCTGTTCAGATAGCCAAGAAATTTATATTCCATTCATCTGTCTATGGAAATTCAATAATAAGGCCCCTAAGCGCGCAATATTCAAAGATTCAAACGTAGAACGTTCCCACGGCGCGCGAATCTCGCGGCCAATCGCGCGCAGCCGCGATGCTGGCCCCGCCCCCGCGTCATGGCCGCTATGGATGTTGCCTAATGCCAAATTTAGACGAACGTTTCTTTCTTAGTGCCAACATCTCGTAGTTTTATAATGAAACGAGAGCACTCATAATTAATGTTAGTTTTTTATTCTCCATCGTAAAGATCATACATTTTAACAGCTGTTTTCACAAGTTCAAAGTTACTTTAAATTTACTTATAGTTGGATCACCTATAGACAGCAGAATTATGGTTGTCGATGGTAAGAAGTAAGTTGATAATATCAGTCTGGGATGCCATGAAAAATGGGTGAAAAGTGCGGGAGATGACATGCGCGTGAGCACGATTGATGATGCTGCGTCCGCACATGCCACCGCTGTCAGAGATAACGTGCCGAGCGGCGACACGGTGGTCTTTATCATAATATTTCCAGTTATGAATGACATTGTTCTATTTTAAAGTCCATTCAACTACCTAGCTATAGGTGCAGTCAGGTCAAGTGACATTAAGAAGTCTTTGTATCTTAGAGCATCTAAAGTGTGTGCATTTTTTAAATTTTTACTTAATCTTATTGCCTTAATCAATTCTATTTATGAGGCTTGTCAGCAAGAGGTACTCCAGTCCATTATTTTAATTTAATATAAAGTTTTTACTCCTCTTGTCATTTGAGTGGACTTAAAAAGTGAATGAAGTTCATGATGGAAGAAACAATTGTCATAAACATTTAAAAATAAAGTGATCTACAAAATGGTCATTGGTTCACTATCTCAAATTAACAATCTAAGGCAACGTGCAATCCGCATTAATTAGCTGTTAACTAAAAGTCACTGTGATTTTTTTTTGAAGTCATCCATCGCTAAACTTTCTTGAATCTCAGCGTTTCTCAGCGCCTATTCTCGTAACAGACTCAAATAAGTTTGCAGAGGCATGCCATCGGTCGAGCAATTTGTTACGCAGACACATCCAAGTGGGAACTTTGGAAAATGTATTTACAAATAATATATTACGGCTCAAATTTCTTTGACATAAACATAAAATACAAATAACAATAAGCATGCAGAAGTGTGTTTTTTCAGTGGAAACGCTCGCACTTTGTTATTAATATTCAACGTTTTGTCAGACGCAAATTTATTAATTGGCTGGATTTGTTTTCTTTTGTTCATTTCTCTCGCTAATAGACAATGTAATCTAGTAGATAGAGTAAATGTCATATAGATCTACATAGTAAAGAATATTGAAAATAAATGTGTATATATAAATATATCTATTTATTCAAGAAATAACTAGGAAGTAACTATTGATTCTCTGCTCTAGTATGTTAGAGATAGTTTTTAAATAGTCTTTCGATTTCTGCGGTGACCCTACAAGACTTTTGTGTATAGAATGATATTCTTAAATCTTTCAACCATTACGGTTGCCGGTAAACTGATCTTATGGGTTAACGCATTCCCTTTCAACTACCTAAAACCTAATAATATTTGATGTAACTTAGTTAGATTAGTTTTTTATTCCTGTGCAATGGATACATACAAAAGTAGCTTTATATGCTAGAATAGTTGCAGTAGTACATATAAAACAAATAACCATTTACTAAGCAAATAATACATTATTATTGCAACTAATTTACGGTAACACACGCTATATCAGACATGCGATACTTGATAAATGTCGCTCGAAATAAACTATTGCATTTTCCGAAATAAGTACCAACCTCTACATACTTGTCATATTTCGCCTACAGATTGTCGACAACTATTTCTATGTGAATAATATGAAAATATTCTTTACAAATATGAGCGGAATGAATGGAGTACATTTGAATAGAGTTTGCATTTCGTATAAAGTTTTATAGAAACAGGCATACCTATTAGGAAATAAGGGGTTTATATAGCATTGGGTTAAAGCCTTGGAATAGCAGTAAATCCAATGAGCCTATAAAAATTTTACACTAGATAATCTGACATTATGAATGACTTGTTAGAACGTTTTACTTTTCTACTTGTCTGCAACTGATTGTGTGATACTTCGGACAGGTCGCGCGGAGGGATGTAGACAATATGGAGAGACTGATGGTAACAGGTAAGATAGAGGGTAGAGGACCTCGATTCGACGTCCCACTCGATGCTCAGACCATCCACTCAGAGATCCATTCAGCTGAATATTACTGTCAGCACCGCATTACACCAGGCGGTCTTAGCAGTATGGGCACGAACAAGAAATTTTAGAATATTTTAATTTTTGTAGGATGACAAACAAATGTGAAACATAATTATTATATTATATGCAGTCTGTTACTGTTTATATAAATGTTGAGCTGACTGTACTACAACAATAGAATGTGACGCTGGTAGCTCATAACACTATTCGTCATACCGATATAAATCTGTTAACTGCTACTTGAACAGTGACTGATACTTATGGCTGCATAATAATATCACGGATACTAAACGGTAGGGTCATCGAAATTTGACATAATAAAAAAAATTATCGATATCGTTATATCTATGATACTGCTAAATATTTACATGTAAAAAAACGTTCGTGTAAAATGAATGATTAAGATATTGCGTAATAATAAAAAATACAATCGGCAATTAAAGATAAACCAGATTTGCATATTTTTTTTATTACAATCATAACATAAACCGAAAATCTAAAGAATATATGATCAACGCTGTTTCGGTTTTTATTTACGATTCGACGTACAAATAGTATTCTTTTTCTAGCATATAATTACAATATGTAGAGAAATCAATATGTAAGAGAAATATGTATGTAGAGAGAATTGAAGGAGAATGTTAATGTTCATCCAATTATCTTTATTATTACCAGCATCTTACTGTTGTACTTTTGGTGTTTTAAAATATTTCCCTAGGTAATAAAAATAACGAAATTATCAAAATGTCAAAATGTCTGTCAAAATGGTTCAGAAAATAAGGCTTAAATATTGGTTTAAAATAATTTTGATTATCCTGCTACACTTATATCAAGAAATATCATATTAAACAACGATTATTTTAGGTATGCTATTTTTCAATGCAATCCTTTAAATTTTCAATTCAACACTATGAACATTGGAAGAGAAGCGTCACTAGTGAAATTTTGTCCCGTAGACGCTAATTCGCTCTAATGACTTTCACACTACACCAATGGACAAATGCGCACGTGCAGCGAACTAGAACAAACGAGGTGGAATCATTCATAACCGGCGAGTGATTAACAACACTAGTCACAGGTAATTGAGTGCCAGTCGCCAATTACCGGTATTATACCGGGTAAGTGACTTATAATGGACACACTCGTACGTTCCGTCACTATACGTATATTCCAATTGAGACATCAAAAGGGTAAGTGCCATTCTAAATTTAAATATGTACTTATTGCAAACTATTTCTTTTACATACATAGTAGCTCTGCCCGCGGTTTGTATACATGGTATTGGATGGAACAAAAGATTATAACTTTTTTAATTATACCTGATATTAAGGTGTATAAACAAATAACTAAATTTTAGAATGATACTCTTTTTTTACTCCCGCAACATTATTATGGATAATAATAATAATAATAATAATAATACTTTATTTGCCAAATGTAGGTAAACAATAAGGTGTTATAAATATGTTGTTGAGATCCGTACATTAACCTCGTAAGATCATAAGGATCCATCTTGTATAATTTTGTAAAATATCTATTATATAGCTCGTGTACAATGTATGACATTTGTTAAAGCAAAATATACAGGGTTTTCATTATTAATCATATTTTCATTTCAATCTATCTAACATATATACATATTGCAAATAGCATAATCACCAAACAGTGCATCCCTTTTGATCTCAATTCAAATATAGATACAGTCTCAAACATTAGCTACTTTTCATTCAATCGAGCTTTATTAATCATATAAATCTCGACACAAGTACCCGACTATTAGGCTCTAATTGGTGTTGGATAAATGCATACATTATTGACATTCGAAACGTACAACATCTATTTACAAGGTACTTAAACATACAGTTCCTCCTCTAATCAATACATAAATGAATTCAATCATTCCGACAATGATAATATAAGCAAATATTCATTCAAAGAGCCACCGAAACCGCACGTTAACTAAGCATAAAAGCGCCGCGTAAGGAGCCTAATAAATGTACAAACAAACGCCATCAAAGGCGCTCAAACATTCCGCGCATGTGTAAATAAAAACTGTAGAGATGTGATTAATAGTCCCGTTTTCCTTAAATAAATAATATTCGAATAAATTAGGAGG